GATGCGCACTGCTGATGATTCCCATTAAGGATGAAACAGCTGTACAGTGTTTCTCGGCTTTTCAGCATAGATTAACTTCACTTACAGGACGAAATCTCCACACAGGAGTAGAATAAGACATAGTGTCCTTACGCTTTAAATGACTTCCCTTCCGATGAACTCCTCTGTCTTGTGGTGTAACTCAGTGTGTATTTTTTATCAACCAAGGCTTTCTTTTTCACACCGAAGCACATCAACAAGGCAAACCGACCTTTTCAGCTCAGTTTGTCTTGAGCAGTTTCTGTGTACTGCCCAACTGCGCAATAAAACAAGTCAATTCTTGTAGGATAAAGCGTATCCAACTTTGTCGCTCCCAGTGAGCATAGGGGTGAGTATGGGGGGAGTGAGTGCAGGTATAACAAAAGCCTGACTGGCGCCGTTGCTGATCCCGTTGCCCATAACCGAGAATTCTTCGAAATCTCTGGATCTCAACGCTGCATTCATCAGCTTCTCAGTCATAAGATAATCTCTCCTTACCGCCCTTCTATCTGACCTGCACTAGCTTGCCCTTGTTGCCAGTGCATGAAGTAATTGTACACCTATTCACCCGATTTCCATACATCGATACCCATCGCACTGATTCTCGAGTCTCGTCCCTATCACAGCTAGTTGTAAATGGTGGCTGTCAGTCTATGGTGCAGGGATATCTACAACATAAGCTGTTGCGTGGTACATTCTCGTATGTTTATTCCAGACACATCCGCTCACATCAGCAGTGTGGCTGAACACGTCTCCTACATGACCAAACTCACTCGTATCTTTGGCAGTACCAGCAATCTAAAAAAACGCGGATAACTGTAGTCTGCCCTGTAATGTTTGGTATGTAATAGACGCATAAAGTGACACAAACCCACCAACCTGAAAAATCACTTAGAAGTCATTAAATGAACGCGATGGTTGGTTTGCAAGCGCATTGCTGAAGTCACCGGCTAACTGATCAACCATCCGTGGACAGGCTAATGCCATACCAATCGTTTCTTCAAACTGAGGCTATTATGCACTTATTTGTCGTTTCACCTTTCAGCCTTTTGACACCTGGGGTCATACAACAGCAAGGTAGGGAATCAGTACGTGGTATACTGCAACCGTTTCATTATCAAGTTCGTCAGCCTCCGCTGGTCCAAACTAGCAGAGAAGCTAGCGGAAGTAACTGCACATTTCAGCTCAAGTCCCACCATTTTTCAGCAAATCACATGGACAAGCTTTCTATCTTAGACCATATCCTCCAGTAATACTGTTGCAAAATTAGCTCAGAGAGAAAAGTATAGGCATTGGGCACGAAAGGGGAAAACACAGTAAGGTGAGATGGAACGATCGATTAAAGCATGGGACGAACAGGTTTCGGTGCATTTTAGTGCCTGTAAATCAAAATAACATATTGTCTGGACTGACGGGTTCACAGAAGGCCACAAATGATGTAGAAAGATGAACTATCCCACTTGCCATTCGTTCAGAGAGTAGCTGCAAACGATCAATGTGCCTTCTTCGAGAACAGCGTAGACTACACAAGGACGTGGTTTGCATCAATAAAGTACCAGACCGTACATTCGGCCTATTTTTACCTCACCATCTGGATATACTGAGATCGAATGCATGACCCAGTTGGGCTGATAACCAATGGTCTCTACGACAGTCCACTTTTCATTTCAAGCCCAATCCAAGGGAGGTGAAACTCAAGGTCAATATGTCCTTGGAAAATGGTGAGCTCTCTGGATCAAAGCATAGAAGGCATGCGGTACGTTTCACGATTTTCAAGAAGGAACTTTTATTTCTTGGGGGTCTATTTCTTGGTTGATTTTCTTGAGCCTAGTGTCTTCTGGGTATCATCATCACCACCATCACGGACAGCATGACATCGTTGTTCAACAATGATGTTTCGCACACGTACAACCATGATTTAATTGTCAAGAAAAGATTAAAATGGACTGGGAAGGGACTTGGTGCTAGCTTACTACAATCATTCCGAGGTGCCTACACCTCCAAACACTCATTTAGGCGATATGGATAGAAAGTGACAGCCAGAAAGCCACTGACATCGGTTAGCAGCCGTAACTTGCAGTGTCTCCAACCAGGCGCCATGAGGATCACGGAATCCCCATGCTAAAAGGCGAGTAGCAATAACAGCACCCAAACGTTTCGTGATCTCTTTCATACTCCTCTGCCAAGTCAACAGTTTGCCACCTCTCCGCTTCCGCCACTCTGAGTTGGGTATGGAAAACAGCACTCTTTTCGGCAGACGTTGGCTAGGCATACGCAACACACGGCCCAACCAACGCAGCTTCTGGTGCCGGACGCATTCTTCAATGAGAATTTCCGTTGCACAACTGAAAACTCACTTTCTAATAGTCTCGTTACGAATTATGCGACGCCTACCGACACGAGCTATAGTCCTAAGACAATGAGTGTCGAACACTACCGGTGGTCCACGCAGATTATAGTTCTACCCAAGAGAAACAATTCAAAATCGGTGTTGTGGACCCGGTGTTTACAACCCCATTAGCCCAGGGTTTGCAACGGGCAGGAGGCGATACTCCTCCATTGAATCAATTATCACGGGACTAGGGTTTGCGGATTAAATTGCAGTATACGATGAAAAATTTGACGCGAAAAGGGATGGTAATACAGTGGACTATTTCAGATGAGAGAGAGAGAGTGGGATTAGTCACCTCCCTATAATTACTCATAGAATAATTAGCTGTAGATTGTCCCGGTTTGTTTCAAACTAATACTCCAGTTTTAACACATGAGAAAGATAATAAAGCAAGATATTTGTCCCCATCATTATACTTTCAACTGCTTTTGTATATGCTGGGTACTTGAGGAAACAAACTGACTCACCTGTAGGGGATTATCGGCGAATAGGCCACTTACGATGTTCTTCAAATGTAACGTTGAAAGGGGATGGGGCTGCTCTTCAACGTCATGACAGGTTCCAAAGAGTGACAAAAACTGTGGTTCCTAGAAATTACAAGAAGTTTTGTTTAAATTATAAACCAAACAAAAATCTGCTTTTGTTGTTGAATGAATTATTCTAAGGGAATCTGAGGTAAACTTTATCGTTTGCTGAAACATGATTCGCCGGAACAGTCAATACGTCATTGAATTGAAAAAAAACCAAGGTACTTGTTCATTCACTACCGATAAAAGGGACACTTGTTTCCTGTTGGAAGTTCCGTTCTGTCAAAACGGAAAGTCAATGTAAGCTGCCACCCACATATCCAAATTCAAGATATCAACTACTCGTTATCATCTTAAGAAATGTCCGCGTCGAAGCTTACACTGTCCTATTAAACATTGGAACTATAGACAAGAGTAGTGACCTATTACCAGAGGGATAAGCAGTTTAGAACAAAGTGCCTCAACTTGAAGCTTTTTGCAAACTATGAGGTTGTAACTGACTGCTAAAAGATGGGATTAGGCCTCCTCTTGATTGGTGTGGTAGGAAGTGTAGCGGTATGGTAGCGGACTAAGTATGTTAGGACTTAACGCCTAGTGTCAGTTTCTATCCAGATCACCTGAGTGAGAGTCTGGAGGTGTATGCACCTCGGAATGATTGTGTTTAGCTAGCACTAAGTCCCTCCCCTGTCCATCTTTACTCTTTTCTTTACAATAAGGCTTTCAAATACATCATGGTTGTACGGCAGTGAAGCATTGCCGTGTTGAACACTCATGTCATGCTGTCGATGATGATGCTAACGCCTGGATGGGAAGGAACTACTGCTGGTGCTCAGTATCACGAACTGGTGGCTGTAAGTAGATATTTGCATGTCCCTCTACTGAGCCCATTCTTTTAGGTCCAGATCGGCATCAGTAGCTTGCTCGTGCGAACCGTCTGTGGTTCAGAGCGGTGCGTAATTGTTCTGTAGTCCCACCATTGGTCTGTTTGCCGAGGCTGGTTGCTTCGTCACCATTCGAGGCAACCTCGTCAGTGCGGGGTTGATCGGTCAGACTATTTCCACTCGACTCACTCAACGAAACTCGGCGGACAGACCAAGCAATGCACCCGAACTGCCCATCTTCCGCAACTTTGCCAATCCCACCATCGTTGACCGACGTTACTAGAGGACTAATCATCAGCAGCAGTAGCACTGTTAACCAGAGTGGCAAACTTACTGTGTTGGGCGATAGCAAAGTCAGTCTTCGGTAAAAATGCCCCGCGGAACTGGGTGAAAATCCAATGACAATGCGGACTTTCGATCTGGGTCCAACGCTGCTACTGGCGGATCCGTTTAGCAGAGGAAACACCGTTGTGATTCGCGTTTGGTAGCCAGAGTTCGTGATCTTGTTAGATCCACAAATCAATTGATAAGGAGTTTCTTCCTCGCTGCGATTTTCCAAGAAAAGCACTCGTTGTATCATTGGTTCCCCAAGTTTACATAGCCCGAAATCCAAATGATCGGTTGACAAAGCCAGGCTGACTTCTATTTAGATTTAAAAGAAAGCCAACAATCAGAACCAAGGCACTCATTGTTGTTCAAGCGAAAAGCTGTGGATGAATGAACCAGGCTGCGCTCCTTGAGTCATCCTCATCATTGTCAGCTGTAATAACCACGTACTTGTTCTACAGTGGTTGTAGCTGCCACAGTTTCGTTCACCGATGATTCGGGGAGGTGGGGTAGGTAGCCCCGCATTGGAGGTGGGAGCTGATAAATTAGTGCGTAAATGCAACACTGTAGGTGGACTGTTAAGTGGGGGGAGTGGGAAGGGAGCTATGCATTGAAGGCAATAGCTTGGAGCGCCATTGAGGGCGCGACTGGGCTGTGTATGACAATGTCTTTGAGTATCTTTGGAAAAACACCTTGCTCATATTTTAGTTTTTTTTTCTTTTTTTGCGATCGCCATGGTGTTGCATTTGATATACCAACAAGCTGTTAATCAATCTGATTTAGGCAGTTACTTGGTGAATAAACAACAGATATACGTTGCCGAAAAACCCACGTTCGAGGAACAAGGACGAGAAAAGCGCATGGATAAGGACTGGAAACTGCTCACTTGTTTTTTTTTGTAATGCACTACTCATAAGGTTACTGAAGACTCCTCAGTAACCTCGTGAGTAGTGTATTGCAAAAATATGTGTCGCGATATCTCGAATATCGTAGCGACTGAAACATGAGGCGGCCTGGTGCAGCACATTCAGTTGCCTGAAAACATCAAAACCGAGAGATTCAGCTGGATTCCGGGTGAGTCTCCCGCAAAACCAACTTAGCTTGCAAATTGGTGTATTTCGCTGATTACTTGCGACAGAACTCACGGCAGAGCTCACATAGGTTTGGCAACAAGTTAGTCAGTTGATCCATCTACAACGCGTATGAACTTTGAATGTTGGAGATTTCTTTTCACTTTACTTGTGTCAACTTTGTCGATGCCTCTTAGCAATGTGAAAGAAATCAGCGTCAGGACTCTCATGAGGTTCCTTGATGACATCCAGAGATTTTTGACAGAGGCGTAACGCTTATCTGCAGATCGAATTCGCGGTGACCAGTGATATAATCGACTCACCTACATCCACGCTGTAGGTATTGTCGGGTATGAAAGAATATTTTGATAAGGTGATTAGCAATATCAGTAATGGATAGTTCCTCTTACATAGAGTTTTCACGTTAGCTCATCGAACAACAAGGCAACTTAGTTCTATGCACACGTAATCTAGTGTACCCATCCGAAGTGATCTCACAAATTGGTCCTCAGTCTGCTTTAAAAACGGCCAACTTTGAGTGTACCCATCCGAAGTGATCTCACAAATCAGTCCTCAGTTTGCCTTAAAAACGGTCAACGTCCTGCTGTGCTCACTTGGCCTGAGGAATCTGTCGTGTCAAAATCGAAACTTTACCCGGTCAAAAAAACTTCAGACCAGACCATTCTGAAACAGGTTGACAGTTTTCCTAAAGGAAACTAGTGAGAAGGTTGCTGGAAACTCTTCGACAGCCTACAACCGTTTCGCCCTTTCCACCTCGGGCTCATCAGGTAGGCGCAGTCCCCGAGTTTCCATCAACCATATGATCCACTTGAACCCAAATTGGACTGTTTTCGAGAAATACACTCATTTGCCAATCAATTTGGTTTTCACGACAGATTCAACTGAATCTCTCGTTTATGATATTCTACAAATGAATGTGCACCGCTGATGATTTCCAAGAAGGACGAAACGGTTTTACGGTGTTTTTCGGCTCTTTGAAATAGTTGACTTTGCTTTCCGGACATTGTTTCGATTGCGATATTCCCGATATTCTCCTCATAATATCAATGAGCATAACTGAGAAGGAAAGATAATCTCACGACGAGTGTGTCTTCCATCTGGAAGTCGCCATCCGAGAAGCTTGCTAATGCGTCACAATGTATTGTTAACACCTCCTCTGTTTATTCTCGCCTTACAAGTAGTATCTCACAAAAGTGAAATTTTTGGTCATGTGTCACAACCGACCGTTCCAAGAAGGACTCACTCACGAAATTCAGTACGCTCCTGCGTGAATAGCCCTCACCTCCCCTTTACTGAGCGTTAAACTGGACAAATGTGTCAGAATGACTCAAAGACACTGCAATCAATAGAGTATTTATGAATCCAAAAGTGGTTGGTATTCAATCCGTTGAGCACAACTCACTAGATGAGGTTCCGTGGCACCTCAGAATCGTTTCACCACAGTTTCCGGAATTGATCAGTTTAAAGTAACCAAAGTCTTCCGTACTACCCACAGACGGGCGATAATAAAACTGAAACAATGAAAGCAAAGAATCACTGTGCATTGATTGAGGCAAGAAAACGAATAATCAGACATTATCTCCTCTTTGTTCTTCTCATACGGATTGGTAGAAGATTTGTGATAAAACGTTTGTCTCCAGTTGGTTCTAAGGATGAATATTTTCATCAATGAGGATTTTTTGGGCAACGTAGTTGATATGTAATCGACACAATCATATATATTATTATTTATGATTTGTCTCATATTTTATCATTATTTTATTTAAAGTTTCTTATTACTTATTTATTTCCCATCACATTTATTCAACAACTGGAAACGCTCGAAAAATAGAAGTTTCCACAATTTACAACTCTTTAACGAGGTCGCTAGATTCTGCATATGGCCAATAAGCCAACCAACGCAACTTCTTTATCCCGTTTCCGAGTCAAAGATCTTGGTTGAAAACTCCAAGCGTTTGGTTGTCTGTGTCCCAGTAGTACCTTAGCCCACATAAAAACGCCAAAAATTTTATACCACGTCGGCCTTCGACCAGGTCGGCATACTAACTCCAAACAGCAGGCGATTAATCTACGACAGGCCGCTGCTGACATCTCTCATCTTCAGTATTATCTCTTGAGCCCAGACTACTTCCGTAAAGCAATAGATTTTCCGTAAGTCCTGTCTTGTGTCCAAAGACGCCACCACTCAAGTCTGTTGCTCCACGTCCTCTTCTAGGACATCGTTTCCCTGTTTTATCGTGACACAGCATATCAATGCTGACTATGAAAGAAGTCGGCGCTCAGTCGACAGATATGTGCCGTATTTCTGAAACCCAAATATTGAGTCCACCTACGGTAACCAGGCTTACAGCTCCCCTGTAATCTGGATGCAACTACAGACGCTTCGGTCACTTTGGCATCAGTACAGTTGTCAGCTCGTAAGGTGAGTTTTTATTACCCATCTGGATCCTTAAAAGTAAACTTCTTTACTCTGTTTGTTAATTACCTTTCATATAGACCTGCGTTAGCGAAAGCAATATCCATTCTCCGTTTGTAATTTGGGTGTGTGCAGTAACCAATTTTGGCTCCGTAAATCGGTTGAAGTTCAATTATTCCCTGCTATCCAGAAAAAGTGGTCCAGTCGTTTCGATTGTCGACGATTCGAGTGTACAAGTAGAACGTCTCATTTCATCAGAGGAGCGAAACAATGATCTGCTCACCCTGGTCTCAATAAGTGATGAAAACTGATGGTTGTCTTTTTCGGTTTTGTACTGGGCACCATTTCCTACCTACACTAGAGCAACGGTGATACTACTGATGGGGGAGGTATGCGAATCCGCCATGCGTCTTTTGAAAAGTGAGATCTATTGCGGAATTTGTGGAGTCGCTTTGTAGCATTCGCTTGGATTTGGGTAACGGTCAATGGATATCCAGGAAAGTTCAGAAAGACGCATTCAAAGAGGGGATGGATATTCAGTTTTTGTAAAAAAGATGCATATGAGAGTTTCTTTTCCTTGTCCAATAGTTTGTAACTGTTCAGTTGGCATTCCCTAATAGATAACTGCGCAGCGAAAGTCTCCTTCCTTGCGATAGTAGGCCCAGAAGCGGTGGCAGCCAACGGCAAGGTGTTAATCTCGACTATCGATCTTTTTGAACCATTCAAGTTCACACCTATCCAGCTGTTGTCGGTCGTGAACCTTTAATTAGTTCGTCCATCTTGTTTAACCATTGACACTTTCTGAGCGTGGCAGCTGTACAGTGGAAGATAGCTTCAACTTGTAAAGAAATGACGAAAGATTTGTCTTGAATGTGGACACAGTTGAGTAGAGTTGAAATACCTGGTTTATGCAGAACCCGAATTATGACAACTGATCCCGAAACCCGATGAAGGCTGGTATCGACACTTTTCATAACAAGGTGGCTTGCTAACCTGTAGTGCATGGGTCAGGACTGTTGTCCAAAATTCAATCAATTTCAGCTGATGAGCTATAAACCTTAATGTACTATAGGCACATTGATTCCAGCTGTTACAGTTTCAAGCACCGGAAAACGGGACATTGTGGGACATACAGCCAAGCTCTGGAGGTGATGGCATGTTCAGCTTGCTCGGAAATTGGATAGCTACGCACTGAAGGTGATAGCTTTGATGCACGAGCGCTATTGACAGCGCCATTTCCGACAATGTCAGAAACCATTGGTGATTTGAGTCCCGGAGTACCCATCCAGGGAGGCGGTAGTTTCCGACCCAACTAAGTTTTCTAATCGGTGTTTTCGTACTTCGTTGCCACGAAGACCTTATATTTACTATGCCCACCCTTTTCAGAAGTGTTAAAGACATTTCTGACATCAGCGGACCAAAGAACCAGCACTTTTGTCCTCCCATGATACACGTGAAGGGTAGTTACAAGATTCTCCCCCAGTCAATGAAAGGCTTGCTGTATGAACATTTCCAATACGACAACGCTACCGTCAGTGTGAAAGTCGCCAATGATCACAGCTTACGGATGTCGGTTCAAGAAAGGCATCATGCAGATTCCCTAACGCATAGAGGAAACTACTCACAAGGTTGCTGAAAACTCTTCTTAACGCATAATTTTACTCACTGGTATGTCAACCTTGGCTCTTGGTGGAACAAGGGTAGATTGGACTTCAGTGGAGAAGCAATCGGCGGGATGAAATCCAGTTCCAAGACTGCAAGGTTTGATTGTTACTTGTGCATTTACCTGGTGCCAAAAGAAGTAACATTTGTGAATACCTTTCATTCCCACAACTGGTTCCAGACAGAGGAATCCGATAAAAGAATTGAAAAACGGCAACAGAAAATTATGCTTCCCATTTTCAAAATACAAGAAAACCGACAAACTCGCTTAACTGTAGAAACCAAACCAAGCTCTTTTCAACCGCTCCGTTAACTTTTCTACGCTAAAGCCTTGATTTGATGTAATCCTATTGATGTGTGGGTTATTGAACCTCCCACCAGAAGATTCCCTTTCCTACACATGTATCCTACGAGCTAATTGCAACTTTGAAAAGCTCATATAAAACAGTTTCAGCCTGCAGTTTTTTTATAGAAGCCAAATATATCAGAAGATTCGCAAGTTTACTTTTGTCGTCTTTTGTACCAGGAACATCAGAAACACGCTACCTGACTGGGAATTCCTGACTGGCGGATCAATCGATCGTCGCAACCAGGATAGCTATTGGGTCGTTGTTCGATGAGTCGGGCACACCAATCGCATCGCTCGAGTGTTAACACGTTCGCCTGTTCAGACGTAATAATTCAGATGCGTCCAACGTGCGTTGGTGGAGTAGTGGTTACACGCTCGCCTCGCATGTCACATGTCCGGGGTTCAAATCCAGGCACGAGCATTGGATACGCACTGCTGATGAGCCTTATTGAGAGCGAAAATCGAGTCCAGTGCTTCCCTCTTTGGTGTGAACTCACCGGAGCAATTACACCGGAACAAGATCATGACCGTTCGGACGAGAGTGGCGTGACTAGGGACAAAATACCTATCTCGCAAAACCTCAAAATTACAACTTCAGGAAAACTTTCAATCTACATAGTAAAGCAAGTGTCGAAACTCTTCAGTTGGCTGTAGAACACTCACAGGTGTCGTTCGTGTTCAAACTGATTCATCACCACCATCATCACTCCTAAATTCACTGACTTCATCAACATTACCACCGGTGTTCAGTTTTGTGGAACTTTCCGCAAGAAATAATCTACCGATGACTGTTTCAGCAAAAAATGTGCCTTGAAGAGCACCGAATATCGTCTTCTTGAGTTGAAGGGATAGATGGTTCGGTGGTTAGAGCGCGAATTTACTGACCGGAAGGCCCATGGTTCGAACCCGATCTCTGCTTCTCGACTTCTCCTGTCTAGGCTTGGTAGTAGGCCAGCCCTCTTGCTTCCTCCTGGTGGCATGGGAGTTAGGCACTGAAAGAATGCTACAGCTGAACGATTTTTTTCAGTTGCCAACATTTACACGTGTGTTCCCATGCCGGGCAATCTTGCGTGCGTTGAAGATTTATTCGTCTGACTGGGTAATTATTGATGGCACACCTTCGGACGAAACGTTTCAGTCCTCTTCCCGTGTTTTTTTTTTGCATTCTTCCACATCTCGCATGCTTTGTTTGTGATCATGACCTTCGTGACTAGGGTCACTGATATTAATAAGCTTTTACTATTGTTGAACATACACTGGTAATCAGTTTTTGATAAATTCTGATTATATTGTTATAGTATATTGGAACGCATCACTATTTTATATATTGTATGGTATCTATTCCTCTTGATATTATGTTATGTGGCTAAAGGCCTAAGCACCCGCAGTAAGCAGACAAACAATGGCTCTGGACAGACCTGACAAGTTGAAACTCCAATCAAGGTAGCGTACCCAATCAAAAGGGGAACTAAACCAAAGAATCAAGCAAAAAGTTCAACAAAACTTACGCATAAAGTTAAGGAGGAGATGAATCCTACTTTGGAAATGGAAGGCAAAAAAGATTTCGTCACAGCAAATGTTGCTCAGGACTTCGACTACACAAAATTCATCACTATCGTGGATTTTTCTAAGCTTTTTTGATATAATCACACTTAGCTAGACTATCTACCTTGATGGTTCTTACAGACAAACCTTGAGTGGGTTTCAGCCTCGATGAACCTTCAAAAGCATGTGTCGTTGTCACACAGAACTTACAAATCTTATCTATGGATTACCCTGGCCACAGTGGATCTGCAACAGAGATAATCGCGGAAACTGTTGGAAACGCCACCACTCGTAAAAACAGAGTCTTATCGATTCTGGGTAAACCTTTTCGCTGAAAACGCGGATCACCAAGCAGACGGTACAGCATTCATCATCCGATAGGCTAGTTCACAATTTGTATTACAGCCATCTCTCGATTTGAACCAGTCCAACAGAGATTTCATTCTTCTGAAGCCTTCACAGATGTTTTGGTCACCAACAATACCATCAATGACCTTGCTAAAGAAGCGGAATCTTTATGGAGGTCTCTCCCTAGACCATACGAGAGAAACAGCGTTTTTTACAGGCACTTCGGTCGAAGGTTTTTTTTTCAGAAAAACTGAGGTCCCTTCGGAATACACTCGCCCAGGTTTTGCTGAAGAGAATATAACCCTTTAAGCCCTAATCGCAAAGTACAAATTTATTACCTGCACAAAAAATTACTGTTTTTTCTAGTTGTACGGATGATTTGGACTTACTGGTGACAAATTTTCAACCGTGACATTTTTCTCTGCCATGCAACCCACAATTGTCGTTGGAAATTCCACTGAAACCTCATTTCTACACCGACGGTTCGAGTTTTCCTCCTTGTCAACAAACACATAAATTCCTGGAAAGACGCCTAAACATGTAATCGTTGTCAGGAGGTAACTTATGGAATGACCCACCTATTCCACACAAATTCACTTCAGCCGTGTGGAGGTTTTTCGTACCGTAAGTACACAGTGCATTTTGCTGAAATGTACCAGGAATCTGAGAGGATAACAAGGTTTACAAAACAACAGTTACACACTTTTGGTAGAAAAGATATCTCCATCATTCGTTTCTCCGTTGGTGCCAGACAATCCGAGTCCCCTCCAAGGTAAAAGGGTTCATTGATATGGATGGAGAATGGTGTACTCAGGGTACTTGGTATGAATAAACCATGAGGCAAGTGTGCAAACATCCTACCTTCGATTCTTGAGCGTAAACACTTGTTTCTTCCTGTCTCCCACAGCAACTTGTCCAAAGTCAATTTTCTTAGGTAAGCAGACACTGTACTCGGGTAATACTGCTCGCAGATCAATAACAACATTGTCTTGGTCCTTTTTAACACTCGATGTGTAATTTTCCGGAAACTTACGTTTAGTTGAATCGACAGAGAATCGGTGTAGATTCTTTTTTCATTTGGAGCAAAGGTGACTGGAAATTTGAATGTCGCACCAGCGGCTAGCCTCTTTTCACATTTTGGATAGACCATATAAAAATAAGGTGTGTGGGGAATGCTGTGAAAAAGATAGAAACGTGCCTCAAAAAACACTCACTTGAGACGGAGTTTTCTCGTATGCACACTTTTGTTTTGAATTCCAACATATTTTACATATTTCATCCCTGGCTGCCATGTTTTCCAGATAATCCATTTTGGGAACTCTAAGCCATCTACTTGGATGCAGTCTTTGAGATCAACCTCCATCCGAGGCGTGGAGTGAAACACCACTGAAACGGAAAGGGATGCGAATGAACTGAAAAACTCTTTTGCGTCACTGGGACCACATTGAACCCAACTTCTTTGTCGGTATAGAAAACCCCTACGGACAGCTGAACAAGGAAATAACGCGGTTGCTATGCTCTCATGGCCATTCTCTCCTTGGGAGAGTAAAGCATGGCTAATGTGGACCATAGTTATGGGCTTCTGACGAGAAATCTACTCATCTTGAGACCTCTTTGGAAAGATCTTGAGGTTGTTTTACTTGACTGTCCTGCTGGGGTTTTGTTTAAAATTATTTTACATTCAACTCGGTACTGTGGCACTCTGGTGCGGATTACTGTTGTCTCCAACAATATGAGGACTTATTGATTTAACTTACAGGAAAGATATATCTTGTTTGTTCCTAACCTCTATTTCTGTCCTCATTTCCTGGCTAAAAGAGGAACAGTTAAACTATACCAGCTTATTCTTCAGTGCTTTATTTACTCCTGGTGAGGCTCACGAGGAAGAAAGTCACTTTGGAAACTCCTGCAGGACAAGTAGTGTAGGCTTTCTGTGGTAAGCTGTAGGTTAGATTGTGTAAATTCAGGGTGACTTTATCTGCCTCTCATGGTGCTTGGTCTAAGTTTGTCTTGTCGCATTTGATGTATAAGCCTTGGTCCTGAACAATGCACAACACCTGAGGTCTGATGTATGCAGACTGAAGCGCAGTGAAGTGTAGCCTTCAAGGGGATTAAGGCACAAAATAATTGTTTCAGACGTTTGTTTTTCAGCAGTTGTGTTCTTAAGGGATGGAGGCTAATTACTGAGGTCCGATTTTCCGGCCTTCTAGCATGAAAACAGGCTGTAGTGGCCAAGGAATTAAAGTTGATGGATTCAGGATTCGAGGAGGACTAATTTGGCGTGTTCCAACATTGCAGGTTAAGTGTTTATTAATGGAAGTTGACAGGTGATGTGAAATACGACATGACACTTAGTCATCCGGACGCCCCTCAAGATCTTGGTGTTGATAGAAAATGGTAATAGTAGACGGATATGCAAATTGTATGTGAGGATAAGGAACACTAGCTGGCCCACTGCCAGGCGTTTTGGTACTTCATGACAGACAAACTTGAGTCTAGTCCTTCCTTCCGGTAGTACTTGCTACCCTGGGTGGTTTTCCCATTATCAGTTTGCCACAAACCTCCTGGGGACCATGTTTGACGGCAAGAAGTGATGTTATGCCTAAACAAAGGCTCTGAAAAAGTTCCAGTAGATGAAGTCTAAATCATTTCAGCCTTTTTGGACTTTTATTCAGTAAATACTAGGTAATCGATACGAAATTCACTGTACCCAAACCCTTGTTGCTTGCCAATAGCACTTTGCGCCCTTTCAGATGCGTGTTTAACAACATTTCACCAGAAATTCCAACATTTTACACGTCCGAGCATGACAGATCGGTGGCTTCCTTGGCCGCCCAGAAACTCAAAGCTTTCTCGTGGTAACAGTAATCAGTGGATACTGTGAGGGGGTCTTGGAAGTAGTTAAATATGCAGTGGCTATATTTTTGGCCAAGACAGAAGGGATTCTGAGACGCATTTTTCCATATACAGGATTTTTAGATTGCCACTTACAGCCAATTGTCATTAACCATGTGGTTACAAAGGGAGGGTGTGTTCAGAATTGGCGACATCCCATAACTTTGGTCGCTTGGGTGGAGAGTGATGGGCACTGGTTCTCTTACTCATCCATCATATCGTTTACTGAGGTCATAAAGCGTCTTCTTGTACAAAATAGGAGTAAGCTCCGTATGACTTTCCTCAATCAGTTGGTGTATAGCATAGAAAATTAGGGCTTCCTCTGAGATGTAGCAAGCGAAAATTTTAACCTACGTCTATACTTAATCCTCATCACCATCGTTCTCATCATCACTGGCAGCGATTCACCGGTAATATATATCATATTACTCTGCTGATCAGAAACCTGGCCACTCTCGCCGAGGACGTCGTAAGATTTTCAGTGACTGACCATCAACTGCATTTCTTCATAAATATTCTTCGAACCTGTCCAGACAAGAGGAAAAAACGTCGATGAGTTTATCCTGGATAGATCAACTGATCACACTGCATAGGTTGCACTAGCTTGGCCACGTGCTGCATATGCCAGTCGACCGACTTCCTCGAATGGCTCTTTTCGCCCAATCACGTGAAGGGTGAAAGAGAGCCAGAGGCGGTCAACTAATTACTTGGCAGCAAAGTTTAAAAGTCATTACCGGCAAAGACAGCTGCCATTTTCCTGGATGAAGACCCTGAGAATGGCCACATCAATGACTAGAGACATTGTCAGACATGGCCCAGTCGTTCCCTCAATGGCGCTCATGCATCCAAGCTTTGCCTTCAATGCATAGCTCCCTTCCCAACCCCCCACTTGACAGCCCACTGACAGTGCTGGATTTTTGTACATATTTATCAGCTCCCGCCTTCGATGCGCAGCTACCTACCCCCCCCCCAGAAAAAAATCATCGGCGAACGAGGTGAGGTGGTTGAGGCATATACTACGCATAGCAAATCGTCATTCACCGAGGGGAACGTTGTGCTTTGTTCTCAGCGATTGCAAAGGGCGCGCGGGCAACAGACCAAATAATGGCAGCGTGAGATGAGAGCGGAGCGGCTGACCGCAAACTGAGCACCTTAGGGTCTTTGATCTTCCTGAGGCTCACGTTATTCTGCTTTCAGGTGACTGAAAATCTTGCAGAGCGCTTCGAGCAACCGCGTGGTGGCTTAGTAGATTCGTTAAGTGTATAATGTGATTCTCCATTTGCTGCGTAAGCGTAGCCCTAATGGGGTTGCGTCTCGTTACCAGTACCGTACGTTTAAAGATTTGGGTACTTTGTGGGTGGACAGCAAGCTATCCTTGATGATGTTCGTGCAGTTGGCTGAGATGAAGAAGCAAGATACTTCAGTGGCAATGAGAACTGTAAGGCTCAATGGTTCTTGTGTGCCACGCCTTTAGTAGGATGATAATTATGCTTAACTGTCGCATTCGGTTCACTGAGCTACTGTTTCCGTGTATAAAAACAGCTTCGTTATATTCATCAGTCGGCTCTTCCCTGGGATTTCTATAAGCACTTTCATTCTGTTGATCTAAGAAAGCTCCATTTCTGTGCGCAGGTTTGACGCAAATCGTAGACCACCATAAATAGTTTTCAATTCCGTCATCGTAGCCAGTAATCTTATAAAAGCGGAGCCCGGTAACATGTAGATTCGAAAGTGACGTTGCCAACAGAATGCGCTTTATGTGTCATTCGCCAGAAAACTCAAAGTTGTGCGCCTTGGAAAGACAGGACACGGTAACCGAAAGATTGCGGTTGCATACGCATCATCAGCAGTGTTTCATTCGGTTACATGCACGCCTCTCCAGAGTAAGGTTTGTCTCGTTTCACAGGATGCATAATTTCTTCAATTGAGTTTTGAGCAATGAAAGAGAACCACGTTGCCTGAAGTGTTGCTAAGTGTACATTCTCAGGGCCTTCAGCCTAAAGGCAGCCGCAAAATCCAAGGGTGGTGAATTTTAGAAGCGACCCAAACTGAACTTCTCTCACAACTTCCCTCACAGCTGGCAGTCTTATGGTATTGATCTGTGGTTACAAAATCGTTCGGGATATTTTGCACATTTTTATCTTAGTGATGGTTGACATGTTGTATAGACCTAAGGAATACATTCCAAAACTTAAGTGACATAAAGACAAAATATGGTATTTATCTCTGATGATTGGCATCTGACACTTTTAAACAACACTGAACTATTAGGACGTTGATCTAAAAGGTTATTTCTTTCAAGTTCAGACGCCGATGGATTCAGATTCTGACAGATTGTAGCACAAGCGCTCGCGTTCTTGATCTCAAAGTTACCCCATAGGCGAGCTCCAAAAGTTTCAATTGGATATACCATTACGAAAATTTTTGTGAGGTTACCCCATGAATTTGCTATCTTGAAATACAAGCTCAGCAATGGTGGCACACTTTTAAACCTCTGGTTTTTGAGCTTACTGCGTACCTTTGCATGGCCATAATATTTAACTGAGTAGCGAAGGGCAGTGCAAAGATCAGAACCACCCAGGACTTAAAATAAAATTACGAGGTTCATGCAACTGAATGACCAATCATGACTGAGCGATTCCAGCCATGAACAGCAATATAGCAGAGACGACTTACTTCCTGTACTATTCTCAAGGCAAATCTCTGAACTCCTAACAGTCGCATTATTCTGCCTTTGGTATAGATGGAGAATATCAGTGCGCCATGGTCCACGACAGACTGAATAAATGCGGTCAGTAGTTTTATTTACGATCTCCTAAGTCAATTGAGCAAGCTACCGAAAGCCCACAAAAGCCTGAATCCTACGCGCGCTGACAGCCGTGAGTACTTTTATCTCGAAGATGCCTTACGACGCCTTAACTTTAGACATCAGATTGTCGTGGTATCGGTTGCTGAGTCACAAAATACTATTTTAACTCAGTGTTGTGCTATTATTTAGGTGTTAATATTTAGTTAGATTGATCGGTAGGTTGGCCTTCTTCTGCCCTTATCAGGATGTTCTGGTGAAACTTTTCCTTTATTTACCATTGTGATGCCATGCCACATTCACAAATAATCTGTGAACATGGTTTTCTTGATGCAGGTTGCGAGATAGTTTGCTGATGTAGAGGCTAAACGGTGCGGAACTCAGTACTTCTTTCTGTAATCATCCATTGCCTGCTGTTATGGGTTGGTTGGTCCTAAGCCATGTGGCTTCTATGTTTGTAAGGCTTGCTCTTCAAAGATCTTCCGCGAATACTGCGTTATATATCCCTCCTTCATTTCATCCTTTTTAATCACTGGTATCAGAAGAACTGGTGAATAATTTATCAGACCGTGTTTATCACCACCAAATAACAGTTAATTGATGGATTGC